ATATGGGCTTCTCAAGGATTGCCTCCACTTTGATTCTGTTGGAGAATCTAAGGCAGGGGTGGGGAACCTTTTTTCTGCCAAGGTCCATGTGGATATTTATAACATCATTCGAGGGCCATACAGGATTATCAGCTTACAAAATTAGCCTGCTCTCTTTGATCAAGCATTTAATTAACTCACCCCTAAGGCCTTGGCAGGGCCAGACCAAATGACTTTGCAGGCCTTATGCGGCCCGCGGGCCAGATGTTCCCCCTCTCCGATCTAAGGTCTGGTGTTACCTGTGAGACCACCGTATGTCTCAGGGAGATGGAGAAAGGATAATTTGGGGCCACTGTCTCGCGTTACCAGAGAATCTTATGAGAGAGCCACACCCAAGTGGCGCTTCCCTAGAGAACAAATAGCTTTTATGCCTTTTTTTTTGGTGCGTCTTCCCTTTTGCTGTCTCTTGAGCCTTCATAAGGCCAGAGAGCCTGGGGCAGAGACACAGTCAGACTGGTCACTGCTCGATTTCCTTCGAGGTCTGCAGCCTTTATCCCGGGCTGTCTACCGACGAGGCTGGTGGTGCCCGTGGCGCTAGGCTCTGAGCGCGGGGGCCCCACGGCCCTGGGATCCTGGGACGTCAGTGTGGGAAGGGGCCCAAGAGATGGTCCCCCCATGGTCTTCATTTTGGGAAAGGAAGGGCCCAGAAGGAACAGAGGCCTGTCTGGGGGCCTCAGAGCCGGATACCGGCTCCGGCTCGGAGGGCCCAGGAGGTTTCCTGGCAGGGTGCTCTGGGCATGCACACAGGAATCCCTCTGCCGCCGGGTTGGGGTTGCCTGGTGAGAAGTGGTTTGTTGCCCTGATTAGAATGTAAACACTGGCCGAAGCTGGGTTTTGGCTCTCACAGGAGCTTCATCACAGCCTCCTGTGTTTATAAACATGTCTCAGCGTGAGGGGGGATGCTAACCTCGGAGTCCCCGGAGAGCACCCACGTTCTCTCTGCGGGCTGAGACGGAGACTCCCCAGCGTCCGCCTCCGAGCGCCCGCGTCCTGCTGCGCTCCCCGGCCGGCCTGGGATGCGTCCCGGATGGCCATTTCCACGCCCGCTTCCAGGAGAGCCCGTGATGCTTTTTGACATTTCATAGTCAGCGGGCATCTCCCAGGCAGGCACACAGCCCAGGCTCAATCTAACAAACAGTGTTTGACATTTTTCTCTAGGATTCAGGGTGTCTGGTGTTGGCGAAAATGCAGAGTTGCTGTGTCGTGGAGCCTGCGTGCATGTCGAGGAAATAGACACACATGTAAACAAGGCGCGATGTGTCACAGAAAAGGTGGGGACACAATGTGAGTGAGGTTGAGAGACCTGGGAAGGCTTCATGGAAGAGGAGGCGCTGTTTTATTGCACCTCGCAGCGTGAACTGGCTGTTAGTAGGGAAGGTTTTCACAGATGAGGGAGAGGGGCAGGGCCCATTTCGGGCAGTGCGCACAGTAGGCCCAGGAGCTCAGCATTCCAACCTGAGAAACGCTCTTCCATCACGTAGGCGTGAGGGCAGGCACTGTAGGCCACAGCTGCGGTCTCTCTCGGGAGCCGGCTCTGCAAAAGACACACTCCTGTCTGGTCAGCGTGCCTGGGATCACCCCACCACCCGCGGGATCACCCCACCATTGGCAGGATCACCCCACCATCCAGATCGTCTCCAGCAGCTGTATCCCCGCAAAGCGGACTTGCTGTGATGAGTGAAAGTTGGGGTCCTGGGTGAGTCAGAGGGCGGCAAGCGTCCTCGTCTCCGATGAGGCTCAGGCACGTTGAACGTCAGGGGCGAATAGCTTCATCTGCACAGGAGAAACCCCGCCGCGCGGAGCGGTTCCCAGAGGGGTGCCGCCCGTCTCGCAGAGCATGTAGGTTTCCTGTTTGGGGAGCATCAAAGCACTGGAGAGATGACAGTGTGTGTGACAAGCAACACTGTCCCTGGGCCCCACTATTACAAGACCTGGCCTGTCCCTCCCTCCCTCCCTTCCTCCCTTCCTCTCAGTCTGACTTCCTTTCTTCCCCAGAAGTGGGAGTCTCACCTGCTCCAATCTGAAGTCGGACGCCAGGGTTCCTTCCTTTAAAACCATTCGCTGGCCCAGGCGACCATCCCTCATCCTGCCAGCACCGTCCCGCCCCCCGGGACGGACCACACCTTCTCACGGTCACTTCCCAGCGACCCTCTCCTTTGTGGGAGAGCGTCAGCGCCCGGGTCCGACAGCACCTGGGCCGTGGTCTCCCTCAGCCTGGAGGAGCGCATCTTTAGAACGCCTATTGCTCTCAGCACTGTCTTCCCCGCTGTCCCAGAGGACCGGCGTGGCTCTTTTCCTTAGTCCTCACCCGAGGGTATTTTTTCATTGATTTTTAGAGAGTGTGGAAGGGAAGGAGAGAGAGAGAAACATCGATGTGAGAGAGACACATCCATTGGTTGCCTCCGATATGTTGCCCAACCAGGGCCAGGTATCGAGCCTGCAACCCAGGTACATGCCCCTGACCCGAGTCGAACCCGGGACTCTTCAGTCCGAGGGCCGACACTCTATCCACTGAGCCGAACCGGCCAGGGCTGGGCTCTTTGGGTTGGTTGGTTGGTTTTGCCTGTTTCTAACTGTGCTGGGAGGCCGCACCGCTTTCTCTCTTGCAGGTGGGCAGCATGCGGCCGTATGTTTGCTCCAATAAACAAACATGCTTTTCAGAGATGCTATTGTTTAGCAGGGTAGAAACTTTTCTTCGGTAGCATCTTTTATAGAGAGGAAGGTAGGATACGACTGTGCTTTAAAGCAAAACCCAGCTATTCTAAAGGCATTGCATTCTGTGACGCCCAACATTGCTGCCTCCCGCCAGGCCCCTCTGCCCCCCGCCAGGCCCCCCTGCGTCCCGGCTCCCCGCAGCCTCTCAGGGAGGTCAGACGGCGAGTGGAGGGCTGACTGGGGAGGCCAAGGGCTCTCTGGGTCACCCCAGGCCGTAAAACCTCGTTACTGGAAAAGCACCTTGTGACCAGGGATCGGCATCCCCGGGCGGAGGGGCGGCCGCGGTGGGTGGTGAAGGGACTCACCAGCGCATCCGAAATCGGCTCCGTTCAGCAAGTGGCATCCTGCGGGGCAGGCAGCGCCGAAACGCCAACAGCTGTAGGACAAGCCTTCGAGGTTGTCGTGAACTGTGCCCCCTCCTCCAGCAGCAGTAACTCTTGTTGATCCTGTCAGGGGCCTTTCCCGCGAGCACCGCACACCACCCCGGCGGGTCAGATGCTTAACCCCCTGCCCGGTTACAATGAGATGGCCCTTTTGTTTTCCTTACGGCAGAGCCCGGCCTAGCAGACGGGGGAATGGGGGCCTCGGGCGCTCGCCGCTCAGAAGTCACCGATTGTCCGGGCGCCACAAAGGGCGCGTATTTTTTGTTTCCATCCGACAGTGGCGCGGCCTTTGCCTGTGCATCCAACCACGAGACAGTCTGCCCATTGACCGGCAGGCAGGAGTTTGGGGGACCATTTGGTTCCTCTGACCTGTGTTACTTTTTACTGACCCGGCCAAATTGCTGAAAAGTTTCCCCTTTCTGCAGTCAGTGCTTAAAGCTGCTCAGTGTCTCTGAAGTGATCCCACCCCGCTTTCTTTTTAACGCGTCACATTCCTGTGTATCGCAGCGCCTGCTACTGCAGCGAACCATGAAATCACAAATGTTACGAGGTTCTTAGGGACTGATCAGACTTTTTTTTTAAAAAAATATGTTTTTATTGATTTCAGAGAGGAAGGGAGAGGGAGAGAGAGATGGAAACATCAATGATGAGAGAGAATCATGGATCGGCTGCCTCCTGCACGCCCCACACTGGGGATGGAACCTGCAACCCCGGGCATGTGCCCTGACCGGGAATCGAACCCGGGACCCTTCCGTCTTTAGGCCAACGCTCTATCCACACCAGCTAGGTTGGGACCGATCGTACTTTATGAAATGCACACAGAGCACCTCCTGACCCTGGGATCGCCTGTGAAGGTGAGCAGGCTGTTGCCCAAGGTCACGGATCTGCGTGTGTTTATTTGTGTGGGTGGATCAGGACAGCACGTCGGTGTCTCTATCTGTTTTTCAGGCAGGAACTGTTTGTCATGCGGCCCCTTTAAGAGTTAAGGCACACCGAAGGGGCCAGTTGAGCAAACGTTGAATCCGAGCCTCCAGCACGAAGGCTCCTCTGCGAGGGAAACAAAAGTGCCGCCGCAGGTGGTGGACTCGGGCACAGGAGGAGGAGGCGGCCCAGCGGTGGCCCATTTTTCTCATCCTTTCAAGGCGCCCATTGTCTGCGCCCCAACGTGAGCGTGTCCCCGCTCCGTCTCATGGAGACGGTTTCGGCATGAGAGGGCCGTGCCCATCCCGGTTTCTCCCGCGGCTTCGTCTGGGGGATGGAATCTACCCTCTGAACGAGGTGGGAGAGGCGATTCCCTCCGGAAGACGAGCCGCCCCTGGCTGCCAGGCCAGTGGAGTGAGGCAGGCCCCTGTCCGCGCCCCGCAGTCCTGCAGGTTTCAGGTTGTCTTTGGGGATCTTAAAGCAACTGTGCGGTGACCGCGTTATGTTTTTATTTTATTTAAAAAATACATGTTTGTATTGGTTTCAGAGAGGAAGGGAGAGAGAGAGAGAGAGAGAGAGAAACATCAATGATGAGAGAGAATCATGGATCGGCTGCCTCCTGCACGCTCCGTACTGGGGATTGAGCCCGCCTCCCTGGGCATGTGCCCTGACCGGGAATGGAACCCTGACCCTCTGGTTCATAGGTCCATGGTCAGCCACTGAGCCACACCGGCCGGGCTGCATTACCTTATTAAAGCTAAGGGTAAACTCCGCACAGTCTGTACCTGTTTACATCAAGGTGTTTTGTGGGAAGGAGGAGAACTTTTTAAAGCGAGTAATCGTTGGAGTTGGAATCATTGTTGTCTGCCCCTAAAAATGAATGAAATGAGTTCATGGTCATTAAAATCGGTTCTGAATTCCTATTGGAAACTATATCCCCAGGTGATTCATCGAAGACTTCGCAGACCATGGTGTTGACGGAGTGGCCTCGGCAGGGACCACATCCGTCTCAGGTAGATGTGGCCACTCCGCCCACGTGGTCCTCGCCGAGTGACCCTTCCCTACCCGATCGTCCTTCATTTGGAGTTTTACGAGGCACGTTGTCAGTAGCATGAGCCACTTCATTATAGTGAGACAACGCTCTGAGCTCAAGGATCTTAAGAAAAATAAGAACATTGTTTAAGGGTGGGCAGATGTATGTGGTGAAACTTATTAGTTATGTGGTCATTCCACCAGGTCTACATTTCAGTTTTCGTTGCCTTGAAATGAAAATGGTAAGAGTGAGCAGGTCAGTCTTAAATGACAAAGTTGAGGCCGTGATAGGCAATGAACAGGACATTCTAGTAGAGTAACTTTTAGAAATGATTTTCATAAATAAAAATCAATATAAGAGCTTCATGGAATCTGACAGTTATTTGATGTAACCCCCTTGGCCACCCTTCACCCTGTGTGTATATGGTATATATGTATTTTTTACCTGGATGTCTACCACATAGCAGAGACTCACATGGGTGATTACATGAGAATTTGCCTTCAGTACATTCTATTTGGTGTGTTCGGCTTAAATGTGCTAGGCCTGGAGTTAGAACCCCAGATGTCCATTCCTAACTCGAGTCCTGAACTAATTTTGATATTGAATGAGCTATTTAGTTTAGCTGAGCCTCAGATTCCTTATCTGTAATAATGTGTTTAATAATTCCTGCTTTATCTAACTCATATAGTTTTTATGGGGATTAAATGAGATAATGTTCATTAAAACACTTTTCAAAGTGTAAATCATTTTACAGTTATGTTAGCTTCTGGTGTCTGGGTTCTATTTGGTTCTATTTACTAATGGTGTAAAATTTGGCAAGTTGCTTAACCTTCCTTGATCTCAGTTTTTTTTAATCTGCAAAATATAAATTTTATCTCATAGACTTACTTTTAGGAGTCAGTGATATAATGCATGTGACAGCACCTGGCATGTAGTAAGCACTCAGCAATGTGAGCTTCCATATCATTATCACCATCATCATCATCATTGTCACCATCATCACTATCACCATCACCACCATCACCACGACTATCACCATCATTACCACCACCACCACCATCACCATCACAATCACCATTACCATCACCACCATCACTATCACCCTCACTACCACCATCACAATAACTACCATCATCACCACCATCACCATCACCACCACCACCACCACCACCACCACCATCACCACCACCACCACCACCATCACCATCACCACCACCATCACCATCACTACCACCACCACCATCACTGTCACCACCACCACCACCACCACCAGCACCGTCACCACCACCAGCACCGTCACCACCACCACCACCACCATCACCACCACCACCACCACCACCACCACCATCACCACCACCACCACCAGCACCGTCACCACCACCAGCACCGTCACCACCACCACCATCACCACCACCACCACCATCACCACCACCACCACCACCACCACCACCACCACTACCACCATCACCATCACTACCACCAACACCAGCACTGTCACCACCACCACCACCCCACCACCATCACCACCACCACCACCACCACCATCACCACCACCACCACCACCACCACCATCACCATCACCACCACCACCACCATCACCATCACTACCACCACCACCATCACCATCACCACCACCATCACCATCACCATCACCATCACCATCACCATCACGATCCAGAGGCATCCAGATGAGAGATACTGGCTTCTCTGGTGTCGGTGGTCAACACTAATCAAGGGCCTGCGGAGTATAAAACGACGATCAATTCTAGTGCTTTACTGTGGCTCTAAGTGACTAGTACTTGAAAGTACCTCACACTTACTGGCTGTTTATCATGCGTCAGGCACTGTTCCTTCTGAGGACCTGCGTGTAGGAATTGAATCCTGTCAACCCTCTGAAGTAAGTGCTGTAAGTAGCTTCGCATTGCAGGTGGGGAGACGGAGGTGCAGAGAGGGTGAGTGCCTGGTCTGCGCCAGCTCAGCCCCTGAGGCAGTCAGATCCACGGCTGTTCTTCCTGCCTTCCTGCTGGAGTGCACAGGGACAGGAGCGACCTCCTGACTCACCAGCCACCGTTTTCCCTTCATGGCCGCCAGGACTGGCGAAAGCTGCCCCATCGGCGGGGCTAAATTTGAGTTCTGAACCTTCTATCCCCCAGCGAAGACACGGTGACATTATGTGAAGTGCAGAATGGTGCGTCCGTATAATTTCCCTAGATCTTCAGGTTTACATAGCTGTTCCCCTCCTGCTCCACACACTCCTGTCTGCTCAGCGTCCCGCAAGCATTCCCAGCTCCTCGCGTGGCTTTGGGCGTTATTTCCTCTCTCTGTGCCTCAGTTTTGTCCTCTTTGAAACAGAGGTGCCTCATATATGGTAATGGCTGCGTGAAGTGAGATAAAGTTGATACAAATGCTTGTTGCAATGCCCGGCACATGGTAAGCACTCACTCAGCGTCCCTCTTGCTGTTCTTGCCACCGTGGGGGGACCCGTGGTCTTGGCGCCGGGGCACCAGAAGGGTCTCGGGGGCATTCTGCTTCACCCCTTCTCTCCCCTCCGGTCCCTCCACACCCCCTGCACCCCCCAGCCGTTAAATTTCCACGAGGGCTTTGGTTTGGATGTTCCTGAAGGGGGGTGGGTAGGCGAGGCGGTGGGGGTAGGATGGGGGGAGGGGTGGAGAGCAGATATCTACAAAGGAGTGAATGATAACAAAGAGCCCTTTCTGCTCCGGTTCCTGCGTAGAAAACATATGTTCAGTGATGCGGGCAGCAGTCGGGTTCAAGACACACTGTAGGACTGCAGACAAAGGCCCGCCCCCGCCCCCCGCCCCCGGCATCCACAGCGTCTCCAAATACAAACATCTTCGCTTGTCTCACTTGTAAGGGACGGAGCTGTCAGCCAGATCCTCTTGCCAGTGTGATTCCCCCCCCCCCTTCCCTTTCAAAGGCCTCCCCCGTGCCCCCAATGTTTTACACTTCGTATAATCCAGTGTGCACGGCAGACCACGCCAGCCTCTGTGGGACCGGCGTGGGGGCGGGCCACTCTGATGGAGATACCGGGTGACTTTTCCCGCGCCCCCGGATCGGAAGGACCTAAGCCCCTTTTAGGACTGACATCGTCCCTGGCTCGATGATTCAGTGCTCGGTGTAGCTCGCCATCCTTCACCTTCAATGAACAGGCCAGCGGATAGGTCAGCGTCCTGAGGCCCTTAGAAGTGGCGGCTGGGAGCCGGGGCCTGTGCACGTTGCGGTGGGGTTGGGAGAGTTCTTGCTCTTATTTGTAGGGTGAATCGTTCTTGATGAACAGACACAGATACATCAAGGCCCCGCAGAAGGAACTGGAGGGAAGCCACTGTCATTCTCCTCTTATTCATGATGTGTAATCTATACGCAGGTCTGAACTTATTTCTACACCCGCGTAGTATTGCTCTGTGAGCGTCTGTTGATAAATCTTATTTTCTTCATTGAAGATTTTGCAGCTGTAGTAGGTTTATTTCCATGCGCGAGACTTCAGGAAGATGCTTTGATATGTGTTCCTTTGTAACTACCTGTATGTGTGGGGTAGACATGTATTCTTTATAATGCTTTTCTGTACAGTCCACTAGAGCTTCCAGTGCTGTGAACAGGCAGCTAGAAATACACAGAATTCTCACCCCAGCGGTTCTGCCACGGATGCACATGGCTCTTGGCTATTTCACATTCCCAGTCTCAGTTTTCCCATCTGCAAAATGGGAATTCCACGATCGTCCTACCTCATAGGGCGGACCAGAATAAAGCAAGGTCAGTGTTCACACGATGATGGTCAGCGAAAACACTCGCTGTCTCTGGACAAGTCTTGCGCTGTGTCTTCGTTGCCCATTATCGAGTCAACTTCAAGGCTTTTCTTTCTTTTTTCTCCTAAGACCGGCGCTGGGTGCTCCGTTGGATGATACTGTTAATTAGTTGCCTGGCTCATCCTGGAAAGCACCCGCGCGAGCATTCAGAGGAAGGAGGGAGGCAGGGAGTTTCCCGTTGGCTTAGCGCGCTAAATGGGCCTTGAGCTCGTTTCAGCAATTGAGGCAATTACAGCCCCGCTAATGAATAGGCAGTCAAGTGGAATTTCCCGTGTACGCTGTCTGCTGGGCCGAGGATAATTTCAACACCTGAAAACGCTCAGACATAAAACATTGTATAAATATTTTCTAACGAGAGGCGCCAACAGAGTCATCTCCGCCAACGCGTGTCAGCACCGACAAAGGCACGTACTGATGCTGGTGCACGTACAGTTTTTAGTGCTGTCACCTGAAGATCCTTGAAAGGAAAAGCATGGTAGAAATGGATACCTGTTCCCCTCAGGCTGAAAATGAGTCGGCAAAGATCGTCCTAATGGCTGACGCGAATAGACTGCAAATTGGGCTAGACACGCCCCCGTGCGGCCCCGCCCTGCCGGCCCAGAGTGGAGTGTCACCCACAGCCCACAGTAGGACCACTGGAAAAATCACTGGCTATTCTTTCCCACATGGAATGAATTCATTTCACAGACGGATGGGGAAGGGAGGTGAGGATCGTACGAGTGTGTGTACAAGGTTTTGTTTTCCCTCCCCTTGTTTTTATTTTTATTTAAAATATATTTTTATTGATTTCAGGGAGGAAGAGAGAGGGAGAGGAGAGAGAGATAGAAACATCCATGATGAGAGAGAATCATGGATCGGCTGCCTTCTGCACGCCCCCCCACTGGGGATCGAGCCCGAAACCCAGGCATGTGCCCGGACCGGAAGCGAACCGTGACCCTTTGGTCGACGCTCAACCACTGAGCCACACCGGCCGGGCCGCCCTTGTTTTTAAACAAAGCTGATGCTTCCGAAGGCGGAATGATGCCGGGGCTCTCTTGGCAAGAAGCACCCTGCTGTTCCCTCCACCTCTCTATGAGTCAGCGTCAGCACATGGACCGCGCGAACTAGTGGCGAAGAAGAGGCGGTTGTAGCAAGCGAATCTACTCGGCTACTTGGAAAAAATGGGGGGGGGGGGGGGGGACACAAGAAGAACAATGATTTTGCAAACTCCATAAAGGTCAGAAAAGAAGGCTCTCAGTAAGGAGGGCGAGCCTAGAAATCAAATCCCATTTCCTATCATAAGAAGCCCGTTGTTTGAGCCGCGGTCGTTAATGTACTGGACGTGAAAGATTTAAGGCTCGTCGGAAAGCCGGGCTTCTGTTTTATTAGGCTGCTCTTGAAAAGCCCACAGCAGAGCGGGGACTAGGTGCTTGGAGATTTCTTAATGGGCTGTCAGGGGCAAGACACCAGGGCCGCGCTACCCCAGCCCCTTCCTGTACATGGGAACGACGGGGGCCGGGCGATCCCGGCCCGAAGTATGAATTACTTGATGCTTTCTCTGCTCCATATGGCCAGCCGTGTCTTTGGCAATTAATCACGGACAAAATCAGTCGAGTGCTTTTCTGAGGCATTGAAGTCAACATTTAGTTGTACCTGTGCCAGGGGGCAGCGGGGTTGCACGCGTAAAAGAGCGGGCGAGGGGCGCCGGCGCCGGGCCCAGCAGCT